ACTCAGTATGTCTGTAGATTTTTTACCAAATACATTTTTTTTTATTAATGTAATTTCTTGGACGGCTACTTTTTACTTTTACTTGAGTAAAAATATGTTCAAGTTGTGCTTCTCTTAACTGAGTCCAATCGTAGGTGCCCACCTCTGCTCAATACTTGAGGTTAACTCCAAAGTGTTTGTGTGAGTCCATATGTTTGCGTCATGAACCCTACCTGCCTGGTTTGTTGTGATGTTCACCACGGCATACTGTGAGGCCTCGTTGCTCAGGTGTGTCACAGCATTCGTGGCCAGGATGCGGAAGGAGTAGTTGGTGTGGGCCACCAGGTTGAGCACCGTAACCCGGGACTCCGTCAGACCGCTCTGGCGAGGGATGAATCGGACCGCGGCGCTGCCGGAGCGCTCCACGATGCCTCCTCCTCCCAGCCCGATGCTGGCCCCGCCGCCCACCTTCCCCCCACTGCTGCCTCCGGGGGAAGCTGTACAGTCCTCACACGGCCCGTCCCCAGAGCACCTCTGGCAGAGTATGCTGTACTGCAGGTCGCTGCGTCCCCCGGTGTCCAGCGGCCGATCCCACTCTAAAACCACAGACGTTCCATTGACTGAGGAGATGACGTTCACTGGAGCGGATGGAGGGCCTGGAGACAGGAAGAGAGATTTACTGAAGGTTCAGTCTTAGGTTTCCTCCTGGTGACCTGAGGGAGAGTGAAGTGTAATTAGTCTTTTTTCATTTTTCATACATCTGAAACAATGCCAAACTGATTTTTTGTTTTCTCTACAGTCTCCTCTCTCAAGATGTAAAACTCATTTTCTCCTTTTGCTGCTGTTTTTTTATTTTTAGGCAGTTATGAAACACGGTGGGGAAACATGAAACTGTTGCTCCAGCAAGTTATTCACCAGGTTGTTGCTAGGTAACCAAAGAGTAAGTGAATCCGTCGATGCCACCTTCCCTCTCCCTACATCCCCCAGAATGCTGTGCAGTTCTATGTTGACGTTCAGTGAAGCAAACGAAAATTCTTTCATTGATGTTGATCACCTGTCTATCGCAATATTTGTTAATGATTTGAGCCCTAGTGAAAAGTATTTGCCCCTCTATAGATTTCTTTTGCTTTTGTTGTTGTTTTGTTGGATCCTTCAATTCATACTAATTTTATGATCAGACAAACCTGAGAAAATGAAAATATAATTAGGATAGTTTTGACACCCTTAGTAGTAACTATTTCTCAGTCTTTTTCCTGTGGAAGAACTTTCTTCATCTTTTCAGAATTGTTATTTAATCTGCTTGTTTTACTTCTTTCTTGACTTGAACATTTTAGTCATTTTATTGTGTGTGGTTAAAAATCCGTCTTTGTGTATTTGACCTCTGTAAAGCCACTTGTGTTGCACTTGATTAATGCTCTATAAATACAGTTTGATTGATTGCATAATCAGACCATAGCTTGATTGGTGTAAATGTCCTTAGTTCCATTTATTTCAAGATGCAATAAAAGGGGGGTGATTATATGTTTAGATTGATTTGGATGGTTTCATCATTTGAAAATATATATTTTTTGTATTTACTCAGCTTATCTTCATCCGAAAATCAGATTTACAAATTGTCAAATCTGTGCAACAAAACGCAAAAAACAGAATCAATCTGTAAGGGTTTGATACTTTTTTCACAGCTCTGTAGATTAAGCACATTTACACATTGCACATGTGTTTTGATAGTACGCATGTGTTTCACCCAGTCCGGCTGCATCTACAGGAGACCGCTGACGGGAAACATTCAAATGTTGATTATACGATCAA